TCCCCCCCCCGCCATCTGGTTGCCATTCTCAATTGATGGGGAGGGGGGCTAGCGGCGCGGGGGCGTATTGTGGAACCTGGCCTTGGGGCGGGGCTACTTAACATTTTTTGGGGCGGCAGGTGGAGTAAATCCGGCCCTGGGTACAGAAGTGATAAAACCCTTCCTCCTTTTCTTCCATGACCCCCATAGGGGCTTTAGCAGTATCTCTTGTGTACCCCAAAGTATTTTACATTTTTCATATTGCCGCAGAGCATTTTTTTTTTTTTTAAAGCTCTTAAGTACCTTGTAGATACAGTGGATACTCCAAGAGCCTGTGCAACCATTATGGAGCAATGGACTTAATTAACGCCATTCCCAGAGGGAGGATTCTACGTCCTTGTCTGACACGATCCAATAAATCATAATGGTGATATCAGTACAAAGCATGACACATTTGGACACATTTTGACATTTAAAGGGTTTTCCTCCCAATAAGAAAGCATGAAATAAATGTTTTCCCTTACTTCATACGATGGTTCCAGGGATTGCCGCGATGCTTTAAACCACTGTCAGCCGAAATCTGCGCCCAGGAGCTGCCGTCCTCTCTCTCTCTGTCCTGCTCTCACCTGTCACCCTTCCATTATGAAGGGTAGTTAGCTAAGCCCCGCCTCCCCCAGGCTGATGTCAAACCTACCCACGCCTTCCCGCCTGGCCCAACCAGAAGGCCGGGCTGTGTTTTTGTTTTGGCTCAGATGCCCGGGAGGTTAGTAAATCGGAGAACACTTCTCCTCCACACTGCAGGAAGAGCAGAAACTGTCACTTTTCAAGGACAAGGACGCTTGTAGTCGATTCTCCCGTTTTGCAATTTTTCCATTCACCTGTGATGGGCAAAACACAGAAGAATGACTCACTTTCTGAGCTCCGTCCACCTCCGGAATGGAAGGTTTCCGAAAGGCTGTTCTGTTCAATCGTCACAAACATATACCTTAACCCCTTCATGACCGGGGTAAAAACAACTGCAGAAATTGGGATTCATTTGCGAGTAAATGTTAAAGGGGAACTCCAGGAATTCACAAAATGAGCCCTCGCATTGGGGCTACCCCTTCCCGATGCTGACAACTGTGGGGCCATGCTTGTGCGATGCGCGTCGACACAGCCAGGGTCATGTGACCAGGTGACAGTCCAGAGTTGAACCCAGTGCACTTAAGCAATCAGCGCCTAGTCAGACACGCCCCTTCCCTTACGGTGTGGTGTGTTTATTTACAATTTTACTGTATTTCATAAAGGGGGCACCCAGATACCGCCCCCCCCTCCTTGTGAATGACTAAAGGGTAGTTGTTACCCCTACTCATTCACAAGGGTGGGGGGGGGGGCGATATCTGGGTGCCCCCTTTATGAAACCAAATCGTAAAAATATAATTTAGCTCAGAACGAAAATTTCGGATCCCGAAACGAATTAATTTGACTTTCGGGCCGGAATCCCAAAAAAAGAAATAAAGAAAAAATAAAGAAAACGAAACAATCTTTTTGCCCGCGCACATGTCTGGAAATCAGTGTTTTCACAAAGCTATTTTAAGTAGTTTATTATTTAATAATATTTTCTCCACCTCTACATGCAGGCCGAGCTGTCCAGTGACAGTTACAGAGGTTGGGACAAACAATGTAACACAGCGGAGGGTGCTTACCATGGTCAGGGTGACAACGCTGTAGTGATTTCAGCAGCATTGTCACCATATCACAGGAAAAGGAATAATAAGGCATCTGCTGGAAGGATCAACAGGTTATAAAACGACGTTACAGCAGAGACTGCTGCATTAAATAGCCCGTTCACACCAGATGCAGTGCGTTCTGGCCCGATTCTGGCTAGAACGCACTGCCTCGCATTGCGGCCGGCTCACTTTTTTGTGGGGCAGAAGGGGGCGTGGCGGGCCATTGAAGTGAATGGCACCATAGCCACGCCCTCCGGCCGCAAGGGATCGCAAGGCAGCATTTTGATTGCACCGGACCACAGGCATAATGTGCCTTGCGATCCCGTACAGCCGGAGGGCGTGGCAACGGTGCCATTCACTTCAATGGCCCGCCACGCCCCCCTCCTGCCCCACAAAAAAAGTGAGCCGGCTGCAATGCAAGGCAGTGCGTTCTGGCCAGAATCGGACCGGTACGCACTGCATCTAGTGTGAACGAACCCTAAAGCTCCTGACAGACTGCATCTCATATGCCATTGTTTTATTTTGGCCGTACTTCCACTTGAAATGCCGATCTCCTTTTGTTTTTGCAGCGTTTGTGCCGCTTAACCGCTTTGTTTCCTTTTGGCGCTACAATAAGGAAACGATGACAGGAAAGCAATCAATGGGGAACAATGGCGGCATTATACTCAGCGATTAGAAATAAATCCGACATCCAAGTTGAGGAGTCTGCCAGGACGTTTCAGGGACAATTAACAGCCGATGAGATACAAAGGTATTGCGGTTCGGGATGAGCGGCGTGATAAGTGACTCCAAACGCAAGCGGAGCCTCTGCTTGGCCGGCTCTTAAGATTGTGAGGAAGCTAATTAAATAAATACTTCTCAGCTCCATTTATTGGCCATAATGCAGTATTCCATCATAAATACTTATTTCCTGTGTTCCTCCACTCTATCTAGTGGCCATAATCTTCCATCGAGGATTCTCCTCACTTTGGAAAGATTTTAATTTACAAACTGGCCTTAAAAGGCAAAGGAGGAGGCCCTCAACGCTGAAACTACAAATGCTTCTACCTCTGGGAGTGCTGCCTGTGGCTGTCAGAGTCCTGCAATGCCTCATGGGATTTGTAGTCCCACGAGTAGCTGGAGCGGTGGGGTTGCCTACCCCCTGTTCTCCATATCCAGGATATACTGTAGGTGTCAGCATAAGCAAACCTCTCTTTCAGAATTCTATTTGTACATTTGACGTTTTTTTTCTTCTTTTTACTCCTTTAGATGTTTTTAAACCGGTAATATTTAATTTTTCATCATCCGGGAAGCCATCCTCGTAAAAGCATTGAGCGCCCACCTCGTGTTTGTTGTGTAAATCGCCCGCAGCGGCTGTAGCCACACGTGATCCGGCCCCTTTCCTCCCTGACCTTCAGTTCCAGGCACCGGCGTTAAGTGGAAACTTGCTAAAAATAAGAGTCATGTGATCGAATCAGGTCAATGTAACTCATGGCGATAACAAGGCCGCAGCACAGAAATGTTGGCCGGGGGACCGGGACCCGGTGTTGTGTATACTCGCCGGCCGTGTTGATATTTCCAGGTCGCGTCGCCTGTTACAGTTATTGCAGCACATAAATCTGATGCATTTCTACCACAACAAGGACACGCCTTGGACTTCAAATGGGGCAATTTTCTGTACACATGACTGTATTTCATTAAAAGCTGAAGTCTAATCTGTTTATATTTTGCATGCCCCGGTTCCTCCCTTATCCCCGTCATCCACATGCTGTTAAATAAGCCCGTTCCATTTCCAATACAGATTTTAGATCCATTGATATCATCAGCGGGTCTCTGTGCTTCTCAATGCCATGCAGGCAGATCGTAGCTGGTGGGAGGGGCCGGCAGGGTGCTGTACACAGGGCCGGCCTTAGGCCTTTAGGCGCCCTGTGCGAGAAAGCTTTAAGGTCCCCACACACCTTACGATAATCGCGGGAAATCCCGCGATCGTACGATTATCGTAAGGTGTGTGGAAGCCGTGCGACCTCTACTACTGTAAGGTTTGTGGCATGTCCGTACGATAACAGCCGTACGGGCCGGTGTGCGCAAGCGCACACTGCCCGTTCGGCATTGCGGTCATCGGAAGCCCGCCCCTCAGGGGGCGTGGCTTGCGATCATCGCAAGTACGATCTGCCTATGCAAGATAGGCAGATCGTACGTTTTTTTAAGTACCTTACAACCATCGCAAGACAAAAGTCTTGCGATGGTTGTAAGGTGTGTGCCCAGCCTTGCAGCGCCCCTCAGTGACCACACCCCTCAGTGGCCACACCCTTTAGTGGCCACACCCCCGTAACCACACCCATTTCCCCCCAATATCCGCACCATTTAAAGAATCCTATTTTGTTATGCCGCAAAGAAACATATTAAAAAGTATGATAAAAATAAAACTTTTATTCAAAGGTATTAAACTTGTCGGCACAATATTAGTATTCTTATCAAATAAAATGGGCGAGGGAACGCTGTCATATCGGATGGCCAGCGGTGAGGGGGAGAGAAGCCGCCCCCAGGATGAGCTGTGTCGGCCGCACGACGCCCTTGTTGCCATGGCGCCCTGTGCAGCCACACAACTCGCACACCCCTAAGGCAGGCCCCGGCTGTACATTGCTTGCTGAAAACATCTCAAGAGTCCTCAGTCCTGGCATTGGGCTGGCTTTTGGGGCGGAGTTATGCAAATTCCATTAGAGGTGTCAGTCTGGAGTGGGCGTTCCTTATCTGTATTTGCATGCAGACTGGTTTAGGAAACGCCCGCATGGGATGCTGAGGCTCCATGATTGACAGAACTGAAATCCAATGAATGCAAGGGGCGGGGCCAGGGACAGTCAGGCTGGGTAGGAAAGGGCTAGATTTATGCTAGACTTTTAAAGGGAACCAAACTGGTTTCTCAGACGCCCCTATTTAAGTCTATGAGTCCAAAACACGCCACTCTGCCCCAAAAGAAGCTCAAGTACTTTTTCAGGGCCCTGTCACACCATCAAGAGTGCGGTCCAGTGCGTTTGGCCTCTGGAAAGCAACCCGGCCGGCTCACTTTGTTTTGGGGCGGGACTCGGGAGGGCGGTGCATTGAACTCAATGGCACCAGAGCCACGCCCCCCACCCGCGGTGCGATCGCCAGCACCCGAACGAGTGGCACATAAGTGCCTGCGTTCCAGTCCGATCTGCAAAAAATGCTGCATGCGCTATTTTTTGCAGATCGCACTGGACCAGAGCACAGGCTCTAATGTGCCACGCATTTTGCGATCGCACCGCGGGTGGGGCGTCTCTGGAGTGCCATTGAGTTCAATGCACCGCCACACACCCCTCCCGCGTCCGGGTTGCGTTCCAGAGGCGGAACGCACTGGTACGCACTCTTGATGGTGTGACTGGGCCCTTAAGCTCTACGCCATGGGCAGCAAGCAGCCAACGCTCATGTGCACGGGGCCACTGAGGACTCGGCTTGTTGAGCGTGGTCGTGCTTCAGGAAAGAAGATACAGAAAGGAGGAGGTGTGAATGGGGTCTGACGCCAACCCACAGGACCTGCATGGGTAGAGGAGTCCCCACAGGCTTGGCACCCGCAGAAGCAAGTGGGCACCAGGACTGTATGTCTTCAAAGCTCCTGTCCTGGGGCACAGGCACCTGTGAGCGCTGCATAGAGACCATACAAGTGCCACCAATACCCCATGTAGTCACTTTAAAGATATGCAACCCTGATGAAGCACCTGAAGCGCGTTGATTTTTGTCTTCTTTATAAGAGGGATTAATTGTAATCCTTCCTGGGCTCTATGACCTTCAGTGTGGGACTCTCACTGCTTTTTTAAAAACATATTTTGGACTTCTTTTATGACCCCCTTTTTTTTGGGGGGGGGGGGGGAGGTAAGCCCCCCAACCCCCCAGCTTTATTGCCTAATTATTTAAAGAGGATACTCACAATACTGGATATTAACAAAATGAGACCTAGTGCCCCCTGTATGTGTACTCTGAGCAATACAAACCTGGCAGGGGTTCTACCAATTCCCTACTCCATGCAAAACTTGATGGCTTTAGATACACTGCAATAGGTCATTTGAATACAGAGCCCGCACAATATACAGAGAATCCTCCCAGTGACGGCTCAATGTCCCCCTACACTTCCAATATGAAGCACACACACGACACACCACCCTCCATTGCAGCCTGCGCGGCGCAGATTTCCAGCTTCGCGCTCCCCGGTCCTGGATAAGTTTGTCCCTTTCGCCGCGCCGTCAGTCATGTGACACAAACAGGAAGTGTCGCCGGAGTGCAGCAGCTGAAGCCATGGCCCCGGATCCCTGGTGGGTAAACATCACTGAGGGGTGCGCAAGGAAATGGGGTCGGGTAGATGGGAGGGAGAGGCAGTGTTAGATGGGAAAAGGCTCCGGCTTGCTCAGGGAGTCCCCTTTTGGCTGACAGAGCATGCTGGGAGTAGTTGTCCTTCTAGTTGTATGGCTTCTGGAGGGTCAGGAGTATTATTATATAGGATTTATACAGGAGTAGCCTGCACCTCTCTTTTTGATGGCTGCCCACCATCATAAACCAGTCTCAGGGTCGGTTTGCAGGTGTGACAGCAAGTTTGCTGCGTACTGCGCCGTCTTCGGTGCGTCTGTGGCGAATGGTGGAACCAGCCTAATTTTTTTAATCAATGGGGGAAATGACAGGTTCTCTTGGAAGCTTGCCAGGCGCTGATAATCGCCTTTGGCGTGCTCGCCCCTGTGCATTGTTGGGTTAATGACCTCCCCCCCCTCTCATGGCAAGCATTTGCCAAACATGGCATTCGGAGGTAGGAGAAAAGGGTCACATGATTCCCCATACCAGGAAGTACCGGTCATATCCGCGAGCTCCAACACGTGAACGCTGCGATGCAGAGGCAAAGCGACAATTGCTCTTTAAATAAAACGCACATGAAAGCTCACAATCGTGTGAATAGGGCCAGCATTCATTTGTGACTACTGGCCCCCACCCTTCATTGGCCAAAATGAATGCCTATAACGCCTGGAAAATGTGCAAGAAATATGCGCTAAAGAAAGCGTGAACGCAGATGAGCCGTCCAAACTAAATGAGGGGCTGAATAGGTCTGGAAGTGCTGCGTTCTGATAGGTGGAGGGTGGAGATAAAATACGGACTAGGAACAAAATTGGGCTGCAGGAATCTTAATCACAGAAAGATAAATGGGGGTCACCTGACCGGGTCCTCGGGGGAGGGGACATGACATGGTTTCCAGAATGCCATCATGGAGCGCAGCTGAGCTCGTTAGCGTCTGATCACATCGTCTTCTCACATGTGAGCTTGTCAGAAGACATCAGGAGATGGAGAGGTGGGGTCCCAGAACAGTGACACACTGACTCTTGGGGTCCCAGAACAGTGACACACTGACTCTTGGGGTCCCAGAACAGTGACACACTGACTCTTGGGGTCCCAGAACAATGACACACTGACACTTCTGGGTCACAGAACAATTGCACACTGATATTTGGGGACCCCAGAACAATGACACACTGACACTTGGGGTCCCGGGACAATGACATACTGACTCTTGGGGTCTCGGGACAATGACACACTGACTCTTGGGGTCCCAGTACAATGCCACACAGACCCTTGGGGTCCCGGGACAATGACACTCTGACACTTGGGGTCCCGGGACAATGACATACTGACTCTTGGGGTCTCGGGACAATGACACACTGACTCTTGGGGTCCCAGTACAATGCCACACAGACCCTTGGGGTCCCGGGACAATGACACTCTGACACTTGGGGTCCCGGGACAATGACACACTGACACTTGGGGTCCCGGGACAATGACACTCTGACACTTGGGGTCCCAGAACAATGACACACTGACTCTTGGGGTCCCGGGACAATGACACACTGACTCTTGGGGTCTCGGGACAATGACGCTCTGACACGTGGGGTCCCGGGACAATGACACACTGACACTTGGGGTCCCGGGACAATGACACTCTGACACTTGGGGTCCCAGAACAATGACACACTGACTCTTGGGGTCCCGGGACAATGACACACTGACTCTTGGGGTCCCGGGACAATGACACACTGACTCTTGGGGTCCCGGGACAATGACACTTGGGGTCCCGGGACAATGACACACTGACTCTTGGGGTCTCGGGACAATGACGCACTGACACTTGGGGTCCCGGGACAATGACACACTGACACATGGGGTCCCGGGACAATGACACTCTGACACTTGGGGTCTCAGGACAATGACACTTTATGGGCAGGATGATGAATATACACGTTCTGCCTCTGATTGTAGGTTTGTTATGATAAATTTCGGGTGTGAGAACATTAAACAGAATAATAAACAATTACAGATTGAACTTGGGGCAGCAAAGTGCGGGGAATGGATCTCAGGGTCCTCATCTCACCACTGACATGTTACAGTTTCTGGGGGCGGAGTGCAAGGAGACTAAAAAGACAAAGGCAGATTTTCAAGTTCTTATCTTAAACAGTCCCTGTTACCAGACAATTGATTCCAGCAGCCATCTTCCTATCAGATTATATGTGTATGTTACATGTTTCATGCATGTTATGTCCCTGTAAAAGCCTCCCTTGTGAAGACATCCAAAAGCTCTGCGACTGCTGCCGGATGCCGTGACCTGTTCTCTTTGTTATGTACACAAGACCTGACATGGGAATTTGCTATCAATTTGCTTTCCGGAGGGGATCTTGTTTTGCTAATCGGTGCCAACAGGCGCCCTAAACACAGACATTGA